ATATATAATTTATTTTATTCTTTATGTTTTTGCAGTAGCAGGGATCAAACTCAGGACCTTGCACTTGCCAGGCAGGTGTCACAGCACTGAGCTACATCCCCTGCAGTGACCTATTATAGTACATAAATGTTTATAGCATTCAATTCAACTGCATCAGAAATAGGTTAAATAAGTCTTGTGAACTAATAATACAACAGCATCATTTATTGGTTTGGGGACCATTTTATTGATAATGCCCAGAATGTAGAACTTGAATCAAAGACTTGTTCATTTTAATGCAAAATGGAGATTGAAGAGACTTACAATCTCTGTTATTCCTAGAAGTCCCTAAAGAACATATACCAAAGTATTTTGAGAAGTTCATCCAAACCTACTTTAAAGCATTATGTGCAATTAAGTTGTTACAACATAATTGCAGTGCATAATTGTTGGGTCTATTTTCTGGATCTTATAAAGTACATGGAAAATAAAGCTCTTGAGAGAAAAAAGTTCATACTGATTACTGGAGAAAGACTATACACTCAAGCAAGATGGTGTTTTGAAGAGGTAACTTGAAACTCCAAGAAACACCTCATGTTTTTATATGCTTATAGCAAACTCATGTTTTAACTGTAGTTTTATATGAAGTATTAATGTTTTTATGTATTTCAGAACTTTCACATGTAACTACTGAAGTTTAGGTAAGCAGGTATACACTGTGCTAAAAGTCACTTATGTTTCAATTTGGGCACAATATCAACATGCAACTCTTGTTTTAAATTATTTTCTTTAAAAAAAAAAAAATCATTTGGGCCAGGGATTTAGCTCAGTGGTTCCGCCACCTGCCTCGCAAGTGCAAGGTCCTGAGTTTGATCCCCAGTACCAAAAAAAAAAAAAAAAAAAAAATCACTAGAATAGTGATTCTTTACTGGAGGGTAAGGAGACTAAAAGTAGGTATAGGTGGGACTTGAACTTCACCTGTAGTGTTTTACTGACCTGTTCTGTTTTTAAATAAAAGAAGCCTTATGTTGGGGAAACAAAGAAACTCTGATAAACAGATCTTTGGGATAGTAAAGCAGTGTACCAACAGTCAATTTTGGGTGGTGAGCACATGGGTATATATTGCTCTCCATATTTTTCACACATATTTTTAAAATCCAAAAATAAAACTGAAATAACCAATTGCTGCCAGTCCCAAGATGAATTTCTTTCAGCCTACATGCTCTTAAATCCTTTAATCACAGGAGCACAATTCAGGCTAACCACAGTTGCCAAGTTTTATCTTGAAATAGAGTATAAGCCATTTGAAAGTAGTAAAATAGTTACCAGAGAAAGAGATATGTAACATTTAGGTCAGACAGACAGGTGGCTGGGAGATGAGTTCTGTTCTTTCAAACGCTAGAAACTCAATTTCTTAGCTGCAACCTGCAGCCAACGCAAATATTTACTCAGGTGCTTCACTTTCCAAACAAACTAGTTATCACAATATTCTCCAAATAAAACATCAAAATTGGTCCCAGTATTCTGGATAGCTAAATAACTATTTTGGATGTCCAAAGGGAAAATGTCTTCAATATTATACATAATGTATTTATGTTAAAAATGCATAACATCATGCTATCAAAAAACCCTACAAATGTGAATATGCAAAGGATTCTGAAAAAATGGATTAAATAAAAGTGGTACCTGATTACATACTAATGACGCCAAAGCTGATAAGGAGCTGAGTAGTGGTGACCTCAGTGCTCTGGGAGGCTGAGGCACAAGGACGGCAAGTTTGAGCCCCATTGGGCAGCTCGGTGATTTAGCAAGACCTGCTCTCAAAATTTTAAAAATTAAAATAAAAATAAAGGCTGCAGATGTAGCTCACTGAGAAGGCCCTCAATTCAATCCTTAATACTGCAAAACTATAAATAAATAAAATAGAACCTGCTGATAAATAAGAAATGTACACGCGCACAGAACTAACTCAATGTGTCAATAGCAATTCAACTTGAACTGAAACATAACCCAACTATTAAACTGGTTAAATCATCTCATTTAGTCAAATGTCAAGGCTGATGTATATGAAACTGGGCCCAGCATATACTCTATACATGAATGTATTCTATTGAAAATAAATAATAAAAGCACACTGCAAATGTCCTAATTGAAATTTCCAGATAAAGAAGAATTCAGGGCTCTGCATAATTATCAAGCCAAGACCTAAATAACTGCAACATTTAAAATAACAGCTATGATGACTTCTCAGCTACAAAATATTATAATGCTTTTATAAAATGGTTATACAACTATGAAACTTTAAAAATTCCATCATTAAAAATATTTTCAATTCCCTACCAGACACTATGGTGCACATCTGTAATCCCAGCTACTTGTGAGACTGAGGCAGGAGGGCCACAAGTTTGAGGCCAGTATGGACAACCTGGGGTTAGAAAAAGAAAAACAAAGGGGGACTGGGGATGAAGGTCAGTGGTAGAGCCAACTGCAAGGCTCTGGAGTCAATCTCCAGTACTAGAGTAAAAAAAATGGCATCTATAAAAGGCATTTCAATTGAGTTGTTGAGTTGTGTTGTCAAACACAACTACATCTTTGGTATTTTCTTCAGGTGTTTAGAATAAACAAAAAACCAGGACTACTCTAATTTAAAATACATTATCACTCCCCTTGAGAAAAAAATTAAGTGAAAGAAGTTAACTTATCCTATTATTCAATAAAAAAAAACAGCATCCAACTTTATGTCATCAAATGAGAGAAAACTGTAATCAATTTAAGCCACAGGCAGGACATGGTGTCATGTGTTTAGGGCTGGGGATGCAGCTCAGTGCAGGAGGCCCTGGGTTACCTCCTCAGCACTATGAAAGCAACACAAAGCAAAACAAGCATGAGAAAAAGAGTAACATGTTTCACAATACCTGGAAATACAAACATTACAATAAAAAATGGGTATTTCTTCATGTAGATTTACATATACAAATGTCATTAATCAGTAACTCAGTCAGTAATGGGAAAGATGATACTAGGAATGCAAGGAAGCCTGGAGATTAAAGGGTATTTTCCAAAATAAATAGAATATATCATTACATACATACCTTAGCCTTCCAAAGAGAAACCCCTGAACTTCATCAATAGGATCATTTTCACCAATGACTGTAGTATTTACCTCAATTCCTATAAAAACATAGTAAATACATGTCTAATGGATCAGATAAGAAATAAAAAAGTTTTAACCTTATAACATTTGACTAATGTAAAATAAATTCAGAAACACTTGAAATTTTAATGCCATTTAACATTTTGCAATAGGTCTTTAAATAAATGTTTCAACATTCCCTGTGTTCCTTACAAAAGAAGGGATTTTATTGTTTTTGTTTGTTTGTTTTAATGGTCCTGGGTACTGAAACCAGAGACTATGGTTTTGTTTTGTTTTCTTTATTAAATTCTTTTATTGGTACCTTGTAGGTATACAACACAATTACATTTCTCATTAGGAATTATACCTTTACATATGCATCTTGGTTCTTATTTTTTCCCTATTCCTAGCCCTCCCTTCACACCCTCCACCCTTCCCTATTTACAAAGACTTCATTTCCATTTTTTCCATTTCTCAGCATTTTTTCCTTTCTCTTCTTTCCTTTCCCCTGCCCCTCCTACTACCCCTACCCCTTTGGAACTTTCCTTCCTATTTTGCATTATCGATTATTCATTCTAATCATTGGTACATTTTAGGTATACGATATAATGACATTCATCATTGGAAATTTGCACCTTTACATAGTCTCTCTTGGTTCTTATTTTTCACCCTTGCCCAGCCCTCCCTTC